ATTTCTGGGCTATACTTTGTTAGAATCATCAGTAAGGTGCTGATCTCTATTAACTATTTAAAAATACTTGTAATTTTTCATTACTACAACTTATTTAGCAGATAACATTGAAGTATTGAACAAAAATTACTCTCTTTAATCTATCTTCACTTCACTAGCCTTCCCAATTTTCTTATTGGCTTCCATACCTCCAACTTTTGGTTGGAATATCCCTCCAGCCATATCTTTGTGATTCGATTTGATGATTATTGTCATACTTCTGTAATGATATATATATATATATATATATGTATATTGCTTTCTTTTATTATCCTTGTAGATCTGAAATTCATGAAAAGATGAGCTGCATCCGTTATCAAAACTATGATGCAGTGGTAGATGACATGCTTGATGAAGTAAATGAGGTAGATGGTGCCAGCTCAACAAATGAAGGTTGTCAATCTGATCAAGAGGATATAGGAGGATGAGCTGCATTTTTGATTGTATATTAAGAAAAGTGTTCCTGTATTTTATGTTGGTTTCCCTGGTAATATTTATTTGCACGTGTTATTTAGGATTTTTGGTCTCATTCCCTTGCATTGCTGAATGCTGACATATATCTTATTTCCATTGTCCAGAAACTGTGCCGATTAGAACCGTGAATAGGCAGTGTTCTTCTGGTCTTCAGGCAGTTGCTGATGTAGCTGCAGCTACTAAAGCTGGATTTTATGATATTGGTAAGGGTCATCTATTATTGGAAAATGGCTTGGATATATGTCAGCAATCTTGATGCCTCATCTGTTCTCTATTTGTTTTTTAAAATATATGATCTATCAATTTGTTTATTTTCTAATGTTGTCACACTACTCACGTTATTGATTTCCTTGACCTGTGTTGTTAGGTTGAGTCATATAGGAAGGCTGCTGCTGCAACTGCCTCTGGTAAATTTAAAGAGGAAATAATCCCTGTGGATACCAAGGTACAACATTTTTATTACAGTTTCTGTAAGATTGTGATACCAAATTTTAGCTGCTCATTCACTGTTTCCAAGTTTGTGTATGGTGCAAATTTGTGCTCTGATATGTATATACTTTCTTTAAAAAGATTGTTGATCCAAAAACTGGAGATGAGAAACCCGTGACGATCTCAGTTGATGATAGAATTTGGCCAAACGCAACGATATCAGACTTGGCAAAACTAAAGCCTGCATTTAAGAAAGATGGGACAACCACTACTGGTATTTTTAAGCACTGCTGGTATAACATGCATACAGAAACCCAAGGGAACAAGGACACACTACTATACTTGGGGATCCCAAATCCTATTATCTTTTGATTTTGGGTTCAATTTAATGAATGGTTTTGGATGGAATTTACCTCTGTTAGTTAATAAATGGGTTTTTTTTTAATTAAAAAAAATTATTTATAGATTTATCTTGAAAGAATAACTAGAAGAGTGGTTTCCAATGGAAGAAAGTCAACCAATATATATGTGTGTATGTGTGTGTGTGTGAATGCAGTCCCATCTAGTTGATCATTTTGAAGTTTCTAATCATTTGTCTCAATTGAGGTGCAAAACTTCTAGGTGTAAGTTTCTGTAAGTTTCTAATCATTTGTCTCAAATATGGGTTTTGTTGCTCTGCTCTTTACCTAATTTGGCTTGACCTCAGTCAGTTTCAGTTTTTGCTTGACCTCAGTTCTTACAATTTGACCTATAAATACAGTTTCTGCACTTCAATTATAGAGCATCTTATGGGATAATGATGTGAAAAGCACAAAGCACACTTTGAAGGAAATGATAATGCATTTTTCTTCCCTTGAACACTCGGAAGGAAAGGCTGTGATTAAATTTGAAACATTGGCAAATCTATCTAAGTATATTATTGGTTTTTTTTTTTTTTTTTTTTTCACCCGGAAGGAAAGACTATGATTAAATTTGAAACGTTGGCAAATCTAGCTAAGTATATTATTGTTTTTTTTTTTACTCTAGTTTGTTGTAATAAAATTTGTTAATATAAACACAATTCCATATAATTTGCCAAATTTCTTGGATGTTATGATTGCATAAATGCGGTACCACTCATATGAAGAGATATAGATCATAGTTATTCTTGTGGTTGATTTTCACTGAACTTAGTTCTGATTTCTAACAAGTAATCTTTGCTCAAAATCATGATTCCCTTCAGTTTCGTTTTGTAGGTGATCTTCTAATGGAGTTGGCTGCTGGGGTAGAGTTGGCAACTACAGCTGTGCCATACCATTTTCTGCCTTTAGCTTGTGCTACCAATGTGGCCAAGGTTCAACCCTTCTCTGTCTCTCATTTTCTTCCCATTTTATAAATTCCGGCTAATCTATGTGATGGATTAGCTTTATTGCTTTACTTTCATATTGTTTCACTTGCAGAATGTTGGTGCTGTCACATCAACCTCGACTCGCACTCCAATATACAAAGCCTTTTCCAAAGGTGAAAACATTGGGGATGTTACTGCGAAGGAAGAATGTGTTGGCAATGTTGCCGATCTGGTATGCTTCTCCAACTTCCATTACAATTTGCACCGGGCCAATTGAGAACATATTTTGATGGCTGCTATAGTGATTGTTACCACATACTTAAATTGATCTGCATATTTTGTACTTTGTTTCTAGTCCTAATATTATTTGGAGAACAGAGAGGCATTACTGAAGGAGATGGTTTCATTACTCTGTATAGTTAATCGAGTGCATCAAAAATATAGTCAATCCCATTAATTTCCCCTTGGCATTTTACTAGACCTTATTTTACTGACACAAGCAAATCAGAGAGCGTGATGTGACCAATGTCCCCTCCTTGTTTGTTTGAGGTTCATTTAAAATTTAGATCTATAGTGCTCTATTCTGACCAGTGATTTGTAAATTGATTAGTAGGATCGACATTTGAGAAAATGATATTTTTTCTTCTGTCTCCCCAAAAGTCATATAATATATGGGAAAAATAGCAGTGCTGAAATTTAATGTTTAAGGCATGGCAGAAGTTGATTGAAATTAGATTTTAAATGATCTGATTTGTGGACTAATAGTTTTGAGCATTCTTTGGTGGTTTCTTCATTTCATCAACCAAATCATCTCTAGATATTCTTTTGATTCAGTCAAATCAAATTACTTTATTATTGAATTGTTTGAGTGCTTGCTCTTGATTATTGTATTATTCTTTATAGGTTGAAGACCAAACAAAGGAAGTTATTTTTGACCATTTGCATGCAACTGCTTTCCAGCACACGCCTTTAGGCAGAACCATACTTGGTCCTGCTCAAAATGTCAGGACAATCACCAAAGATCATCTTCAAAAGTATATATCGACACACTATACTACATCCAGAATGGTAGGTGGTGTCATAAAGTTATGAGCATTTTGTCTGTTCATAATTTATTGCTAGTTCTATTTAGTTGTTAACATGTTGGCTTCACCTTCATTCATCTATCAATTATTCAATGCCGTCAATTTACTTTCTTGAAGTCCTAAACATTGGGTGTTCTACCTGGAGCTACTATTCTAGGTAATTGTTGCTTCTGAAGCTGTGAAGCATGAGGACCTTGTTGAGCAAGTGAAAAAGTTGTTTACCAAATTGTCATTGGATCCAACCACAACTTCTGAATTAGTTTCCAAAGGGCTAGCAATTTTTTCAAGATTTTTTGTGTTAAAATCCTTTGGTTTTTTATTTCTCTTATTTTTTCTTTTTTTCCTCAGATCTGACAATGGGTGTTTTGGTTCACTTCTTATTTTTTGTATTAAATGGGGGAGTGGTGAGAGAGAGAGGAGGGTAATGTTATTTTGTGGCTTTGTATATAAGGTAGTAATTTTTTGACTGAGAATTGTGAATTCAATTTTTGGATATGTTACTTTGTGGGAAAATTAATGCTATATTAAATTGAATGGGAAAGTGAATTAATGCTTTATTTATTATTTGAATGAGAGTTATTATTTTATATTAGTGTTATTTAGTTTTATTATTGGTGTTCTTTTAGTTCAATCACATAAAATTAGCACAATTTCAAAACCAAAAAAAAAAGAAAAAAAAAAGAAATATAAGATGCTACTATAATGGTTGGAATTTTTAAAATTAAAAAAACCTATGAAGGCGTTTTAAAAACGTCGCTAAAATCATAGTGACGTCACAGTATTGTTAGGGTAGGACATTTGGCGGCGTTTAAAACGCCGCCTATACTAATACAGCGACGTTTTCCAAACGCCATAAAATTATAGCAACGACCACGTCGTCGACGTTCGGTACTAAACGTCACAAAAAGAATTAGCGACATTTTTGGTACCTATAGCGGCGTTTTTTAAACGTCGCTAAAAGCCTAATTTCCAGCAGTGAGAGAAGAAAAGGAAAGAAAGTGAAAACCTAATTTTGATTTATGAGATTAAGAAGGCATAAAAAGAAAATTTGATAACATATCAAGGTTAATATGAACTTTTAAAAATATTGTTAATAGAGTTTGTCCGGGAAATTCTATTTTCACACACCTAATTATCTCAGTACACACACTTAATGAAATATTATATTAATGACAATTTTATCCTAAATTAAAATTGATAATACAGCGTGTTCCGAATAGAACGGGTCGGACTGATCCACGCTTCCCAAACTGGAGCCTGAGGTACCAAGCCCACGAAGAGACCTGCACAAGAGTTCAACGGGGAACGGGGAGTCCCCCAGCGAACCCTCCGACGAGCAAGTTAGAAAAGAGAGATGGAATGTAGAAATAGTTTAGAGATAGAAAGTTTAACCTTCTTCTTGTCTTCGACGTCTGCTTATATCCTCTGGTAATCATTTCATTGTCCCTTCTGACTTGTCGCCATGGCCGAAAGTCTATGCTCTAGCTTGCCTTGTTCATGGTGAGGCCGTTCTGTTTCGACGGGAAGGGCTTATCGCAATAAATGTTGTAAGGACCTTCATTAATGGCTGATGTGCAGTGCAATAACTTTGCAGGATTTTTGTCTGCTTATGTGGCTTGTCCTTCACTTGCCACGTGTCTAGGTGTCATTGGTTCTTGATGCCATGTTGAGCTCCAACAACGCTGGGCTTTAGTATTTGAATTATGTATTGGGCCCTACGTGGTGGGCTATAACCTTTATGGGCTTGCCCATGTCAGTAGTCCCCCATTCCCAAGTGCAGCTTTAGTCCAACGAATGGAATAATGAAGAGAACAATTGTTGCTAGAGACCGGCAAGGCGAAGAGGCCGACCATGAGGAGGGCCGACCGTGACGGGTGATCGAATGGAGGGGCCGACCATGAGGAGGGCCGACCGCGAAGGGTGACCGAGTGAAGGGGCCGACCATGAGGAGGGCCGATCGCGAAGGGTGACCGAGTGGAGGGACCGACCATGAGGAGGGCCGACCGAGAAGGGTGACCGAGTAGAGGGACCGACCATGAGGAGGGTCGACCGTGAAGGGTGACCGAGTGGAGGGGTCGACCATGAGGAGGGACCGACCATGAGTAGAAGGACAAGTGGCGGTTCGCGGGGCTCGAGGAGTGGCAGGGCACGTGGTGATTTGAAGTGGAAAAGACAGGGTAGGGGAAGGGAGCAGTGGATCATGGGCGTACACGTGGCGGAATCCCATGATGGGGAAGGTTAGGCGTTGAGCAAGAAATGAAACGATAGGTGAATATAGGGTGTTGAAAAGATAGTTTTGGCGGATTTTTGAAAATTTTCAAACTGGTGAAATTTAATTGTGACCCTTGGAATATAAGCAAACCTTGGGCTTTTGGTATTATCCGTTTTATGTATCTCTTTGCAAACAACCAAAATATTCCAAGAGTAAACTCCTTTGTGTCGAGTGATACACCGTTGCAACATTTTGTGAACTATCTCGCACCAGTATCTGAAGCTATACGCAGGCATACCGGAGAAATGGCTCGAGAGGAAGTGCCCAATGTGAGACTAGATACCTTGGAGGACGACGACGCAGTGGACCTGGCAGAGCAATACAGGATGGAGAAGCGAGTACGAAGTGAAGGGGGGCTGACAGGACGACCCCGCGCGTCCACGCTGATAGCGGCTGCGAAGCCAATCAGTCAGGTTGAGCCAGATCACTGGCACACGAAGGCCGACAAGTCGACCTTTACTGCGGAGGAGTTGGAGGGTCTGCGCGAGAAATATCAGATTCCCACGAAAATAGAGTTAAAACTGCAGACATCAAAAGATAGGGCATCCAATGCTCGACCAGGGAAATTCGCCCTGTACGAGGAGGCGTTAAAGGGGGGTTTGAAGTTGCCACTCCTTCGGATAGTAGTGCACGTGTTGGATCGGCTGGAGGTGGCTCCGGGCCAACTGATGCCCAATGCGTGGAAGATCTTACTGGCCTGTGCGAGCGCGTGGCCGCAGGCGAACGAGGGGGCTGAAATGACGGTGAACGAATTTTTTGCATGCTACAAGTGTCATGACCCGAACCCGCCCCCGTTGGTTAAGGACATAACCGGCCAGTAATCATGAGATTACCTACGGCCTCAAACCAAAACAAATGTATTTTTAACAGAGTTAATGGGGGCCAAACGGAAGCAGTTCAAAACTTTGTCCATAGAGTTGTGCTTACATGGCACACCCAAACAACCAAACATATATACATTAATAACTCACAACAGAAATATAGTAGCATAAGTTCTGTACAAACAGGATCATCCAAAAACTAAGTCAACCCATGAAAACTATATACAGACATATGCAAAGTCCTCGCCAACATGACAAAAATAACTTAGCATAGCAGAAAGGCGAAGACGAGTCTCGTGCGTGAGACACTAGGGCTGACTCTCCAAAACTCGGTTGTTCCAGACAGACTTCACTGGGGCTGGGTCTGGACCTCTCTTGGCTCACCACCAAACACATGAATGAGCGTGAGCGATAGCCCAGCGAATAATATCAA